TCTTTTTTTTTTAAAACCAGTAATAAAATAACCGAGCATGCATGAAAAGACTGATGGACTGTTGATGAAGCGAAAGAGGTATGTGAGAATCGTAGCCAATGACATCCCATAGTCTCTGTCTACCCCCATGAGAGACAGGCGTGATGTTATATATACATGTATGTATGTATAAATACACTCATAATACAACTAGCTTTTACCCGCGGCTTCGCTCGCGTCACAAAAGGATAAAAAGTAGCCTATGTGACATATAACCAATACACACAGCGCCATCTATACCAATAATTTCGTTTTCCCTTGAGAATATTAAATTTTTCCGGGATAAAAAGTACCCTATTATTTAATTCAGACTTCTAACTTTACGTCTGCAAAATTTCAAAGCAATTGGTTTAGTAGTTACGGCGTGAAAGTGGAACAAACAAACAAACAAACTCACTTTCCGATTTATAATATTAGTAAGGATAACTTACAGAAAATAACACGAACACTCACCACTTAAGTAACAAACAATACAGAATTAAGTTTTCTCAAAGCATTTTGCTTAAAACATCGCAGAAAGCCGTAAGGCATAGAACAAAATGTCTCCTTGATAGGTCGCAGCTGTTCTCAGCAGGCCGTAATTAAATTGGCCGACCCAATTTTTCATTAAAAATAATTAATACCGTATTAGTTCAGAATTTTAAGTAGATGAGACTTTTTCGTCAGGAAAAATTGTTGTCTTTTTTAGCAGTGGTTTTGTATGTACTTAATAAATTAATAGTAGATGCCCGCCATTTCGTCCACATGGAATAGTGGTTTTGGATAGTTCTTTATAGCTCCTCCCCTGTAGGTTATAAAGTGATAAATTTCATGCAAAATTTAAAGTAAATCTGTGCTGTACTTAAATTTAACCCGGACATACAAATTTACAGCCAAACAGACAAAAATGCTGAAAACTATATTTTTGGTTTCGATATCGACGGTATCACGCCCAAGGTATTCTTTTAAAATAATATTCAATTTACAGTTTTGACCTTCCTATGATTTTATTAGATGTATAGATTTGATTGGTGTTTTCATGGTTGTATCTACTGTAGATCCTGGCTTACAGGAGTTGCAGCGGTTTTGGGAGGTTGTGGCGGGCCTGCCCCATTTAAAAAAAAGATGTATAGATTTCAAAAAGGAGAAGATTCTTCGTTTTTCGGTATATAGTTAAGCTAATTATAAGACCTTGACTCGGATCTTTGAGTAGGTTAACATAATTAAGTACTTTTTGGCTCCGTCTAGAAACAGATATCTCACATCATTGCTTTATTATTGACTTATAGGGACTGTCTGAGGCATTAGCTTAGACAGTACTAATACTACTACATATGTTTATAGCAGCACTATTTAGCAGATATCTGTATGATATTCGGAGTAGACGTTATGAAAAGCGCTTATAATGTTATTAAAAATAATATAATATTATTAAGCCCTCCAATTTTCTAATTTCTGCTTATACCATATGTCATCACACACTTAATAAGCACGAACCAGATTCGGCTCCGGCACAGCGTTTTTTGTTTTGGACAAAATACAAAAACGTAGGCACGCCGTCGGCGCGCGGGCGTCGCGCGGACGGCGCGCTTACAGCCTATAAAATTGATGTCATACGACATACGATTTAAAGTTCATATTTTAATGTTAAGTTAACTGTGGGTTGGAGCCGTGTTTGTTAGGTGTGCAATGTTCTTTATTTTTCAAAACAAAAACCAATTTGAAAAATATGTCATCTTAAACTCCTACCAATATAAAGGCACAAGGCACCCAGTACGAGACAAGACACATTAAATTTCGCTTATCGTTAAACTTTACAATGATCAAAACTTCGAGTCTGTTTAATGGCCTATAAATACAGAAACTTGCTTTGTATTTTGCAATAAAGGAAGTCTTATTTTATGCCTAACTGAGGTAAAAGAATAAACAAATAGAACTGATCGTAAAGAGTTTTATCCGATTATAAAAAAAATCGGTTTGATAACCGGGAATGTTGAAATCTGATCTTTCACGTTCGTATACATGATTAATTTTATATGAAAGTGAATTATTGACTACGATTTTATGTCTTATAATTTAGTTATTTGTTTCCCTTGATGTCAATTGCACTTGATAACTAAAACAATTGTAATATATGTAGTACTTTTGACTTTTTTGTTAAAGAAGCCTTTTTTAAAAAGTTTTTTGTTTTCTACACACCACAAAACGATTGATTTTCCAACTTTAAAATGCTTAGTCATAGTTAACTCTAGCGCTTAATGTAAGAGAATCTTCCAGAAATAAGAAATTTCTGTTTTGCTTATTTATGAATTTTAATCTCATTTTAAACCTATTTTGTTCCAGCCAACACGATGACAGCACACAAACCAGCACTTTTTCTCCACACCATATTACTCCTAGCTACAATCCAAAAAATCTACACACTCGAAGACGGATACCTCAGATACGTTAAAGACGGCTGCTTTCTTAGAGGAGAAGCATTATCCTGTGTCAAATACAAAGCAGTGAAAATAGCAAAAAACGCAATATTTGGTGAAAATTTGAGTAAAAACGAAACTATCAAAGCTAATAATATAGTCAGTCTTGTACCTTTAGACGAAGAAACGATTGAAAAACTAGGAATCAAAGAGAATAAAGAGGCTAAAGTTGTAGCTAATGAGCCGAGAGGATTTTTGTCAGAATGGGCGGAGCTTGCGAAGTATGTTATGAAGCTGGTTCAAGAATTTTTCAAGGTCAAAGGACTGAAAGTCAATTTGCCCGAAGGAGCCAGAACTGTAGAAGAAGTTGATGATAGTGGTAAGTTTATATCTTTTTATTTTAATATACGTCATTCAATTTAAAGTGTGACTAATAAACTTTGTGAAAGATGCAGGTGCACTTAAAGACTACTTTTGCTTTTCTAGTCGATATTATTAAAGAAACGGCAATTGGATACGACTGAAAAGTTCAATCGCTAGATCAAAGGCTTTGTGGACTTTCTAAACAAGATGAAATATACTTTTCTTTGCCATTTGTCAATTCATTAACCTAAGAATTGTATCTGAAACAGAAGAGTCCGTAGCGATGTAAGTTTAAAAGTCAAGATACCAACTTTTATAACGTTAAACGATTAAAACTAACAGTATCAGAAATGCCGCGAAAATAGTGGAAATTTTACGATTTACCTACGACTTTTTGAAAAATTCAATATTTCACTAGTAATCAAGTAATAGTAGGAGTCTACCACATTGGATTAGGGCAGAAACTCAAACATTTAACAGATTAGAAAAGATTACATTTTTGAGTAAGATGTGCACTATACAGAATACTGGAATAACAGCCAAAGACAACTATTGACGATTTTTTTTTAATTTTCACAGCTATGGTCTATGAGTATCAATAACAGATTGCGTTTTCAATAGAGCTCTAATATAATATAATATAATTTTACTAGAAAGTAAAAGCATTTAACGCCCTTAATGATAATAAAGAAATGAGGTCAAATACTTTACATACAAACATAATTATAATAAGACTCAAAATACGTTGACAGAATAATAGTGAATTCGTTTGTCCTGTCAAAGGCATACATTTAATGACCTTGTCCACTCAACGTGTAACTACATAGAAAATTATACCTTATTATATTTGTTGATACCTGTATTACATTTAATTTTGTACGTTGTTATTGTGTAGACTTTTTTTGATTAGTCTTGGTTTCGGTAGTTGGTTTGTCTGTGTGTTTCTCTTTTATTGGTTAAATTATTTTTGTTATATTTGTTACAGAATTAGATGATTTATAATGAAATACTATCATATTTACTGAATTATTATTAGACTGCCTCGTTGGCCGAGTGCTCGCAAGTGCGACTGCCGGGCAAGGGGTCGGGCAAAGTGTTATTGGGTTGTTCCAAAATTCACAGCAGTAGCACGGAGTCTGGAATTGTGCCCGGTATATGGCAATAGGCTCGCCCCCTCTTACATGAGACTCATAACATAAATAGTGAAAAGTGGGTGTTACATTGTACAGTGGCATAATGTACACCTCTGCCTACCCCATCGGGGATAAAAGGCGTGATGTTATGTTATGTTATTATTTATTAACAAATCCGGAACATTTCTACTTTTCTTTCGACCAATGTATGACTGCAAGTAACGACGAATTTGGCCAATCATTACCCAGAAGGCGTCCACAATTGCACAAAGGCCCCCTCTAGTGGACCACACCGAATGATATATATGCTGCTTGCATCCAATGGCTACCCACAATTCTTTATTTGGAACATTAGTTGCACTAAGGGCTTTTGCTTAATAAGCTTTTGGATTGATGAAGATTTTTAGTGGTAGGCCTATTGAGTGTCTATTATACATTACCGGAGGCGCAATTACCGTTCCCCAATCTCCTCGATCCCCGAATCCCCAGTAATCCTCAAACTCATAATCACCAAAAGGCCGGTATCGCACTTATGACGCCTCTGGTGTTCCAGGTGTCCATGGGTGACGCCGATTGCTTACCATCAGGTGATCCGTCTGCTCGTTTACCGGCTAATGCCATAAAAAAAAACTCACAATAAACCAGAGCTCGTTTGAGATAACTTGTCAATTAATGTTGACTTTAACGAATTAAATAAAAACATCATTTAGTTATTTGATGAAGAACTCGACTAGTTAGACAGTCCGACAGTCGCCGCCTTATGAGCCACGGAATACTGCTCATGGATAAGCCTCTAGTATGGCTTGAAACTAGTCAAGATCCTCGTCAAACATACTGAGTAAACCATAACAAATAATTTACACATAACATAACATCACGCCTTTTATTCCCGAAGGGGTAGGCAGAGGTGCACGTTATGCCACTGTACAATGTAATACCCACTTATCACTATTTATGTTATGAGTCCCATGTAATAGGGCGAGCCTATTGCCATATACTGGGCACAATTCCAGACTCCGTGCTACTACTGAATTTTTTTTTAAAAACCTATAATACTTTGCCCGACCCAGGAATCGAATCCGAGACCCCTTGCCTGGCAGTCGCATTTGCGACCACTCGACCAACGAGGCAGTCGACAAATAATTGAATATGTATCACAAAAGTTGTAATATAAAAAAAAAATAAACTATACAAGCGTGGTCAGTGTAAAAACTAGTCCAGAAGTATGTTTGACACATTTCTATGATTCATTACACCACAGATCAAAACCGCGATAAACGTTGATTTAATTTTATTTATTGTGTTTATGTAACATTGTCGACTAACACGAACATCGCCCTTGAAAGCTTTAAAATGTTTGATAGTCAAAGGAAATTATGTTTTAAATGTAGTAGTAAAAAGTATAAAATATAATAAAACATTCAGGATGTCCATAAAGCTAGACTGCCTAACTTTAATGATGGTTTACTATAAAAAGGTGATAAATTACGTTTATTGTATGATTTTTATATATATTTTATTCTTACTACCTTGACTCATTTGACTGTGGTATAATGTCTGAAGTTTTTTATACAGTTTTACTAGATTAACCTAAAAATCGTGGGTTACTCACGTGAATATACTGAGAAAAGCTCCACTAGTTTCGAGCCACAGAGTGGGGTCACGTGAGTTGCCCACGATTTTAAGTTAATTTAATGTAATAAAATAAAAACAATTAAATAATAAAATTTATTCTTAATTCAAAAATGTAAAATACAAAATATTTCTTAAGTAAAATTGATCTCATAAAGTTAGTTGTCTCACGATATTATTATAAAACACAGTTTTACTAGAGTACAAAAACCTTTCTGATTGTTATATTTGAAGTTTAAAATACGATGATTATTCAATTCATCTTTTCATCATCATCATCATCCTCACCATAATATCAGCCATACCCATATCTACTGCTGATCCATCTTGTTTAATTTGGATCAAATAGATTTTGATAGAACAAATTAGAGACTGAATATTCATAGAAGTATGAGCTGGAAGTCAGAAATCAATAAAAATAAGCATAACATCAGAACCAGAGGTGCATATTACGGCACTTAACGCCACTGTAGGTACAATGTAACACCCACTTTTCACTATTTATATTATGAGTCCCATGTAATAGGGGGTTATCCTATTGCCATATACTGGGCACAATTCCAGACTCCGTGCTACTACTGAGATTTTTTTTAAAAACCCTGTAATACTTTGCCCTACCCGGAAAACGAACCCGAGATCCTTTGCCCGGCATTCAACTCTTGCGACCTAGTGCAAGTATAAGCCTCGAACACAGGCGTAAGTTTGCAAGCCTTTCGGTTTTCTACCGGATACATTTCGGAGAGTGTGGGGGGGAATTGCACAATTTGATTCGCCCTAGACCCATCAAATATAAAAAAACAAGGCAATCAATAAAATCAATATGTGCTATTGTTATTAATATGTATGTATAATGTAGTGTTGTTCTTGTTATTATTTTAATTATTTATTTTTTATCCATTTATTTAGATTTTTGGCAGTAATCGTAGCTGTTGATTTTGTTTTCACTTTTATATTAATTTACTATATTATACATCATGCTGTACTTCGAGCAGCGTTAGTGTAGATGTTTAACTAGTACGTACTATAACGGGCTGGTGCTGAAAATCAGCGCCGTGGGCTCGAGCCTCTGTGCCCGGTCCACGGTATTAAGCTGAGCTCCAGCCTTTTGCGCTGCGACGCACCATGGGCTTTTTTTCGGTGTTTCTAAATTCTTGTTGTGTGTCGTAGCAAAATAAATGGTTTTTCTTTCTTTCTTTCTTTAAAAAATAATTAAAATAAATGTATCTAAAAATACCAAATATGGTACAAGTCTACTTATTCATAAATTACTCAAGTTATTGTAAGCGTATAGCAATTAATAGGGACACTTCCATATTATTTGGCATCCTCCACGATCTTGCGTCTACACGTGCCAGTTATAAATATATTCGAAGAAACATTAACAATCAAATCAATAATGTTATTGCTTCGACCTTCTGTTGCTTAGCCAAGGACATGTTATTACTTACCTCTTTTCCTTTTCAAAGTAAATCATTATGTATGTAGGTACTTTTACGTAAAGTTAGTATCTTTACATCATACTCGTTGGTATTTTCTATAGTCACAATCATCGTCTGTTCGAATAGTACTTCTACTGTAGGTACTATTATTTTCTTCTTTTTTTAAAATACGTTGCCACACACTAGGATTTTCTCTTGTGTAGTGGGTACGTTTATATACACATAAAAATACAATTGCACATATACATGACGCATAGACCCGAAATAACAATTTGTGGATCACACAAAGAGTTGTTTCGTGCGGGAATCGAATCCGTGACACGTTTTGCGGGGGCACGGTTGCCCAGTCACCGAACCAACCGTGCAGTAAAAAACTATCCACATCATAATAAAGAAAATAAGTCCACAGATATAATAAAGAATATTTCTGTGAGGATATCTAAGTGCTATGCAAGGTCACTCATTTAAAATCTTACTCACCATCAAATTAACGCTACCCGACCTTATTGCAGTCAAAAGATCCCTTTAAGACAAAAAGCCTAACAAAAATCCCTTTGAAAATCCAACCAAACTCCGAAAACTACTAAAACCAAAACAAAATTATTTATTGAACGTTAAACATCAAATATTTAGGGTAGAAACATTCCGGGTACAAAATTAAGCTTTTCAGACTGATGCACGAACTAATGGAGTGGACCAATTTATAAGGGTTCGTGGCTATTTACCAAAGGTACCCTAATAAAAAGTTAGCCTACGTGATCCGATACCTCGTGGTCAGATACTGGACCACAAAAGCGTAGGTTCACAGA